AGCATAGTGGCCAGGATTGTTTTGTACTAGTGTGGATGGAAAGACATCCATCCAATCCAGGATTTTCCCTCACACAGTGCATGAAATAAGATGTTCTGCTTCTGTCTCTTTACTTTCTGAAGCTCTGTTCTGGAGGGTTTGCCTATCTCTGAAGCAGATCTTGAGACCACACAGCTGCATGATATGGGCACAAAGAATCACCTCTTTCTAGCTGTTCAAGGAGACATTTACTGATTGTCCTCCCATAAGGATCTGGTGACACATAATTTGAGGGAATCACAGTACTTTTCATGGTGTCTTCTCCAAACACCAATACACATGCTGAGAAAGATCTGAATGGCTTTCTTTCAGTTTCATCTACATTAGCCACTATATATCGCCCATGATGAGAAGAGCACACATTTTGCTTAAGACTACTATCTAGTTGTAGCCTAAGTCAAAGACTGGTAATCTACAGCCCTGGTTTCTGTGTGTGGTTGCATTCAAACTGTGGCAAGAATGATTTTCCCTGTTCTGGCAGGTTGCTCAGAGGAGTGGAGATAGTCCTGAGAGATTCTCAGAAGGAATTTATAAATTCTAAGAACCAAGGATGAAAGAGAGACAAAATCTCAGGATATTAAGAAACCTGGTTTTATAAAAACTACCTGATGCATTTCAGGCCAAACAATTTGTGGTCTTCTTTGGGAGATGTTAAAAAAAAGCAAAAAGGGATGTCATGTTCATTATTCAGAAAGAGCATTTATAAGGTAGATTTCTGGGCACATTTAAATTATATATATGGCCATATTTAATATATAACAATAACTTAGCAATGTGTAAGATCTGCTTTGATCTGGTTTACAGCTCTACAATGACAAGATGGTAGGAACATCTAATATTTCTAAAAGATGTCTTACTAACAATGATTATGTTCCGTGATATCACTAGCCAACGAGGTTCCTGAGGTTTTATTTCTAATACTGCCAAGATACTTTAAGGGGTACAGTAAAATATTTATAAACATTGGATCTTCTTGTCAGTAGTTTAGTGGAGCTGGGAACCAGACTGAACGAATATTCATTACTCATTTCTAAATTTGGTATTAAATAGAAACGATATATGCTATTTAAATATGCTTTATGAATATTCTCACTGTAAATAATGAAAATGATAATGTTGATGTATGTAAAGTATAAATGATTTTAATATATATGACAGTCTGTATACTGTTTTAGCTTTGGGGGGGCTGCTCCTGAAGAGGACCACAAATCACTTGGCCTAAAACTCATCAGAGAGATTTAAACTACAATAAAGTCATTTCTGTTAACATCCTGAGATTTGGTCCATCTTTCATATTTGGATCCAGGGCTGTTTCAGATTTCCAATACTGTTCAAGAGGGGGAAAGTCCCTATATTCTTTATTTAGGTATCTCCCACACCCAAAGGAAACGTGAACAGGGTTTTATACATGTTCTGTCTGAAAGTAAACTTCCTATGGACTTCTGTAGTTTTTATTCATGCCTCAAAATATAAAGCCAATTATTTGTCTAATGTATTTCTGACAGTAAAAAACTGCGAGTCAATATAAATGTGCCAATGAAGACTGAACAGAAGCAGGAACAGGAAACTACGCACAAGAACATAGAGGAAGATAGGAAACTACTGATCCAGGTGACCTAATAATAATCTTGGAACTGCAGAGCTGGAAGGGTGGAATAGATTATTCAAGTTACTCAGCCCAAGAACAGAGGGTTCTTAATATGGCTGCGTTGTTATTCTTAGTATTCTTTTGTGGCTGACAGAATTATCTAATCTAATGGAATTTACCATTTAAGGTTCCTTTTCATGAATATAAGCTGAAAAGGAAAATGCTGTGGTTGAATCATTGACCATACAGCCGAGTGTCGTTTATTCAGGGTAATTTTTGAAGTCTTGAGCAATAGAAAAGGGCTATGAGTACAGTATTCCCCTAGCAAAACTGTCCATGAGGCAGATTGCAGTAGAGCTAATCTTCCTACAATTCATTGTAGCTGTTTCTATAATAACTTCTCCATCTACTTTCCACATTGGAAGATTGATTTGTATGTGCAGCAGTCTGAGAGTGCCTTCTCCAGCCTCTGATTGTAGCTTTGAGTGGGGTGCTCATTGTCGGTACCAAGCAATGCAAAGTTGATTTTCAAATTAATATAATCCAAGATGTGAGTAAAAGGCTCTATTCCGCCATCAAGGAATTGGGTTTCCTCCGAATACCATCTTTCTGAACCACACTCTGCGGAAGCAGTTGAAAGATCAGTAAAATTACATATATGGTTGAAAATTAATTTAGTCACATTTTATATTGTTGAAAGTGCCTTCATGCATTCATTCATTACACTTGTATACGGCACTCATCATTGCTGGGCACTACTCTGGGTGGTTTAGTCACTTTTGCTAGAAGCATTCCTTGTCCATTAAAATAAGAACACCTCTGTACAGTTGCAATGATTGTTGAGAAGTTTTCAGTGAGCAGACTGATTAAGGACTGCATTCTTAAAAGTATATTTCCCCCCCTTTACTTGTTAGGCTGCTATTGTGAGGATTATGAAGATGAGGAAGGTCCTTAAGCACCAGCAGTTGCTTGGAGAAGTACTCACACAGCTCTCATCAAGATTTAAGCCACGAGTCCCAGTAATAAAGGTTTGTCTAAAGAACCATCTAGTGATAGTTGGGAATTCTTTTACCTGTGGAAATCCTAAGGAGAATATTTGCAGCAAGGATGTTTGAGTGAAAATTCATTTTACAAACACAGTAGAACAGAATAATGTAGTAGTACCATGAATGAAAGTAATATTTATGTGTACAGTGTTTCATTAGAATTTAAGATATCTAAATCATGATTGCATCTTACAGTTTTGTAATTTATATGTTCATATGTGAGGTATTGAAAGATCTGGACTTAGAAATTGAAATACATCCTCTGCCATGGCTAACAAACATAGCAATACATTAGCCAAAATCTTCTTGCTTAGCATAGTAAACTGCACAAGTCCAGTCTAGATCTACTCTAGATTAAAAAGTTGCAGTTAAAAGTAGTCCCTTTAAATCAATGGAACATATGGAGGAGATGACTCACCAAATCCCCATTGCTTTGGTAGGCCTACTCTAGCGTAATTTATTACTCTAAGCCATGGTATTTTGGCTACTGGCAACATATGACATCTGCACATGGTCCTTGTCTGTAGTCTCTATCTTTGTACTTCATTTCATCCCAGTATGTACAGGTCTATATTTCTTCTAGTCTGTTTTTCTCTATCCCCTATTTGTATTGCTTTGTAAATTACAGTTAAAAATAACTGTTTTGTTATATTATTGAGTATAGTGCTGTATCTCTACATGACATTAAAAATTTTAAACGTATGGGCTGGTGGAAAACATCTGCAGGAATGAATCAGAGTTGGAAAGGCTGTAAAAATCTTCCATGTTTCTTCTCTACATTTTCAGAAGTGTATTGACATTCTAATAGAGAAGGAATACTTGGAGCGTGTTGATGGCGAGAAGGACACCTACAGTTACTTGGCCTAACAATTTTTAGCAACGATGTGACACTCAAATAGTTACATGATTGAAAGGATGAGAACAGAGCTTACTGGCCTGCTGCTGTCTGGACCTCCATTTTTATAACTGAGACCAGGACTCCCAACTGTCCTGGAATTACATCAGACCTGCTCAGGATTGATACATTTCAAGTATGTAAATATGGACACCATTGCCATTTAATCTAATTTAAGAACAAAATTGAATATGAAAATTCTCCACTGGAGGTTGCATGCTACTGCGTTTAAATCAGTACATTGGCTATACAGTGCGAAGCTGTTGTTCCAGGCAGCATTTATACATGTTGGCAGCACTTTGAGAGAGTCTGATTTGGGCCCCCATGTGTAATCTGCTATGAAAAATCATTTGTATAGTGTGTTTCTTTTTTTAATGTGTGATAAATAAAAAAAAATTAAACATTTCTGTACAAGCTGCATTTGGTTTTACTGTTAAGTTCCATGACTTATCTTTCTAAAATGTAAATAAAAGGTATAATGTTAATGAAAGCCTAATGAACTTGGTACTGTTTTGCTTTCAGCTGACGAAGTGACTTCAAACAAAACACAGTGCTGGTCTTAAAAATGTAGTCCTTATGCAGCAAGAAGGGGGAAAAGTGATTAAGCTGACATTTTGAGTATTTTTCATGTGAGGCTTCAGAGTAGAGACCTTTAAAAAAACAAATGGTGGAATCATTTCAATTGAGTAATGTGAACTACTTCAAGATTGAGGTAAAGGTTTGTTTCAAATTTAGCCTTTTTTTCCTCCTGAACATACGCAAAAAGGTTGTCTAACAGTGGCAGTTGTGTTACTACAACATGCACTATCTCAAATTGTAAGGCTGCCTCTTAATACAAGCTGTATCTTTAGGCATATTAGAGAAATTCAGATTTGGCTGGGAGTCCAGTCTTTGGCTTTCCTAGTCCAGAATATGTTATGTTGGAGTTCACCCCTCCAGCACACTGGCTTTTGTACGTCAATACTAAGGAAGATAGTTTTAGTTGGAAAGCATCTATTACTTAAGTCACTCTTTACTTGAACATTTTCCATTGTAGGAGATAACCCTGTCAGGAAAGTTGTAAGCTCAAAATTCATCACGGTTTCTTTCAGCTGGTGTAACAGTTTTATTTAAATACAAGACTAGAAATTTGATCTGTCATATGTGCTATAATTTATGACTTTTTTTAAAAAAAGCATGAAGGTAATCTCTTTGTCAATCTACTTTTCTCATGTAAACTGGGAGTTGGGGATGTTATGTGCTTCAACTTGGAACTGACTTAAAGCAACCCTAAATAGGGCTTGTAAGTTTAAGGGGTAGTTTTGGCAGTGCCAACTGTATCCCAGTGAATTCCACAGCTAAACTGGGGCTTTAAACCAGGTCTCCAGAGTCCTAGTGGGTCACTCTATCCACTAACCAACACTGGATATGGGATGCGAGTACACCACTAAAATTGAAAGTTCAAGTATCCTTTATTCAAGATTCAAAAATGTACCATACAACATTATTGCAAAATTTAAATGGTACAAAAGTTGCTGCAGCTGGTGAGAAGGCAATAAAAAGTTGAATTTAAAAATTTGTCATTATAAATTACAGGTACAGTACTTCACAAATTTTGCATTCCAAATTGCATCAATTGAGTCTTCAAAAAATTGCCCACAGTACTAGAAACTCCTGAAGATAAGGCAGTTGTTTCATAGAAGAGGTAGCTGGTATCAAGGGATTTCCATTTCTCTTTCAATGCCTACATACTTGAGAGCATCTGCCTGACTGTATCTGAAATGAAACAAAAAATAATTTGAGTCCAATAATGAACCTGTTTCCAAAATTATGGGGGGAAGGGAATATTCCTAGTAAGAGAAAGTTTAATAGCCCTGACCAGCTGCTGCTGACATGTAGGCACCATTTGCCCACTGTCACCTTAAAGTGTGAATCATCTAACTGGAACAAAGAGTGGAAAAGTGGGAACACAACCCTCTTTCTGGTATGCATTTCCACATGATAGAGCCATGCATGATCAAGGCTTTTTGGCAGCTGTCTTCATTCTCCCGTCCCCAGTGCCTTGGTTCCCCAGGTAAATGCTGAAGAATTTTGGCAGTTTCTGCCCAGGGAGAACCTCTGGGGGCGACTGCTCACCAAAAAAGTTTGCTATCTAGGGGGAAAGGATGGAGAAATAGCATTTACCCATTGTTGCTGACCCAATAACCGTTAAACTTCACTGGCTCACTACACAACAGAAATATTGGTGAGACTGATCAATAAGAAGAAAATGTATTTAGGTTTTGTAGCTCCCACAGATTTTAGCCCTGATCACTCATTTCCCCTGACTCCCCCATGATGAAAATGGCTACCAGAATCTGAATTTATTAATTTAAGAACTTGAATATTTTGGTCAGCACTTTTGATTTCTTGATTAAAGTCTGGCCAGAAGAACACCTGCAGATTTCTAGTCCATGATTTCTAGCAATCCAATGCCTATAAGCAAGTTAACTGTACAGTGGTGGCTCGAATAGCGAGCACCTCTATTAACGAAAAAACCGAATAGCCATTTGTTTTTTGGGGAATTTTTTCGCTTTGATTAGCGATTTTTTATTTGGGCAATTTTTGATTAGCGATGGTTGGGGCGGTGGTGGCGGCAGGGGAAGGAAAAAGGCCCGGGCGAGCAGCCCTTCGGCTGGCTCGCTCCTCCCGGGGCGGCGGGGGAAGGGGAAGGTAAGGGCCCTGGTGAGCGGCCCTTCAGCCCTGCTCGCTCCTCCAGGGCGGCGGGGGAAGGGAAAAGGCCCGGGCGAACGGCACTTCGGCCAGCTGCGGAGGAAGCTGTCAAAATCGTCGTCTAGCAAAAATTGGTTTGCGAAGCAGGGACCAAACATCCTTCTGGGCTGGCTGGCTGGCTTCCTCCTCCTTCCTCGCTCCCTCACTGGCTGGCTTTGTTCTCTTTTTTAATTTATTGTTGTTTTTCCCCCATTGAGATGCATTGAATAGGTTTCAATGCATTTCAATGGGGGAACCGCATTTTGATTAGCGAGGTTTCCCATGTAGATTTTTGAATAGTGATAGCAATTCGTTCCTATTGGAACGGAGTAGCCGGCTTTCAATGCATTTCAATGGGAAACCACGTTTTGAATAGCGAAGAATTCCAATAGCGATGTTTTTTGCGGAACGGATTAACATCGCTATTGGAGGCACCACTGTACTTTTGACATAGATCGAGAAGCATTTCTGAATGACCAATTGACTTTTAAGTAAGGCTTAACCACAAAAGCAAAATAAAAAAACCCAACTACCTACCTATAATCAAAAAACAGCTCCTCACCAGTTTGAATTGCTCTTTTAGCAAATATGCCTATTCTGTGATCTCCATTAACCATCATGACTGTAAAACAAAAAGTGATGAAGAGGCAAAGATTTACATAGAAGGTTTTTACACCTTAAAATACTTTTATTTTCAAATCTAAGTGTTATTTAACTTCTTTATTTAGCTGCACTCTTGTAAAATGTATAGTCACCTTTTGCATAGCAGTTAGGATTGACTGAATGGTTTGCGAATCTTATTTTGTTACCTTTCCGTGTCGCATCAACCACAAAATCTAAATAAAAACAACAGTTAGAATATTCACAAAAGACACCTATCCTTCTGTACAGGTAATATGCTTTAACAATTCATTGATTTTGACTTCTCTAGCAAGGAAGAAATCTTGCTTTCATAATGTAAAGAATCAGTTTGCATTGTTTCCTTTCAAACAAATATTTTTTAGTAATCACTTAACACTTGTCCTATTTTCCTGATACTTCTTTAGAAGGTGTAGGTTTTCAATCTTTTCTCTGTTCTTTTTAAAAAGTGAGTACTGGAATAATGCTGCTGTCACATTCCCCAAGCTCTAACAACCATATCCACCCATTTTGTTCCCAACCTGAAGCCCACTTCTGGATTTGAAAAAAGGCTACAGTGGATCCCAAAAAGGGAGGGGGTACTAGGAGATTATGAGTCTTTAATTCTCTATGTTGGGGTCAAAAACAGAACTGAAGATTAAGGACTGAGTGGTTTGATACAACACCAAAGCATGGAAGACATACATACCATTATTCAAATTGAACAGAAAACTGCACATGTATTTGTCATATACTTTTCCTCTTCTGTCTGCTTCATCCTGAGAAATAATCTGAAAATAAAATGGACCCAAGACATGCTGGTAACTATTAATATTAATGTAAACATAATTTTACCTTGCCTTCTCCCTACCTCCAAATACGTACTATAAATGGCAAAAACAGCATACAGTGGTGCCTTGCTTAGCGATGTTAATCCGTGCAGCAAAAATCGCTACAAAGCGATAACATCGCTAAGCAATTTTTAAAAGCCCATAGAAACGTGTTTAATGCGTTCCTATGGGCTTAAAAACTCACCTTAAGTGAAAATCCTCCATTGCGGCAGCCATTTTTGGTGCCTCTAAAGCAAGGCAAAACAGCAGGCGGCCATTTTGGAACCGCCGATCAGCTGTGCGAAAATGAGGGCTTTGCGATGATCGTTTCCCCGCGATCATCACAAAGCGATTTTTCCCCATAGGAAACATTGCAAAGCGATCACTTTTGCGATCGCAAAAAGCGTTGCAAAGTGATTTCGTCACTCAACAGAGCGATCGGTAAGTGAGGTACCACTATATTGCTAAGTAGGAACAATTTCAATGTTGCATTTACATTTTTCCACTGAAAGGTAAACATGAGATTAATATGCATATCTGACTGCTCAGTCAGAGATCTGAGGAAATCCTATTGTGGGAGTAGATAAAGGTTACTTGGAAGATGTATGCATTTTTCTTAATGCCCTATTTGATTCTTGAACTCTTCTCTGGGAAATATGTTATTAGCAGCTCAATCCATTTTTGAGATTAATCCATAAACTCTATTGATTCAAATGGGCTTAATCTAATTTTGACTAAAGTCACATCTGAATCAATGAAATTTACAGATGACACACCAAATCCCCATTGATTCAACTCTAGTGTGATTTAAGCAATAGGATTTTGATACAGTAAACCGCAATCCCCATAAATTGTTTTTGGAATGTATCCTGCAAGTCACCTTTGACCTTTTTAAAAAAATATTTTGTTTGTCACACCACAGCTACTCACAAATGGGTAATACAGCAGAAAGTGGGTATCATCTTATCAAATTATGAAAAGGATGCATCACAGGTACTGCCTGTCCCTTGTCACTGCCACCAGTTGATTACATCAACATTATGTATTATTAATAATAGAGGTCCAGGCAATGTGTCATTTTAAATAGAACCAAATAGAAGTTGTTCATTATTACACGTGATGAAGGTACAACCAATGTCTTTGACTCTTAACAAAACAACCTTCCTTTCTATTCTCTACCACCTTCCTAAACTCTCAACTCCAAACTCCCAAATCACCAATCTAATCTCCTCCTCATCCTGCAGAGAATCTTATATCTCATGACTCTGCCTCTCCAGCACTCTCATTGGTCCATGCAGATAGCATATGACTATTCATGACCTGGGCAGACACCACAGGATGTGTTTATTATGACAAAATGCACACTGTATCCAAGTTTCTTCCTTACCTCACCACAATATTCAGAGATGAATTCATTTTTCTGCACTGGATCCTTAATGAAAATCCCCCAGCCTGCCACATCAGATGGTGCTAGCAGCAAATGCTAACAAAATGAAAAGGCAAGAAAAAAAGCAGTATGAAAAATGCTCAGTCATATCAAATTACATGCTATATGATAGCTACTGAAAAGAGACACCAACAGAAGTAGAGTCAACAGCCCTAGATTGACAGAACTAATATTCCCAGGACTTGACTGGCCAGTGTAAAATGGAGTGCAAACTCACAGAAAGGCACTTCAGATGGGCTAGAAAATACTGTTTTACATCAAAAATTTCTACTATAACTCCTGCCCACAATGTCAATTAGTTTTAAAATACATGTGCCACTCTACTTGCAGAACTTTCATACACATGCACAATCAATTTCAGAACTCTGGGTGGCTATCAAACATTCTGTAATATGTACGGAACATGTAGAAGTCCAACAGCTAAACTCACATATCCCAATAAATAACTAGCAGAGCTAGTTTTCTCATTGAAATTGTTTTCAGCCATGGCCAGGAACTCAACCCTAATCCAGAACAATTGCTAATTCATTTAAAAGAATACTGAACCCAATTACTCTTATAGAAGTGAACGTAGCATCCACAGAGACAAGTATTGCCTGTCTTCCAAGATACTGCTTTGGAGTAGCTACTAGCCTCGTCGTTTAGTCGTTTAGTCGTGTCTGACTCTTCGTGACCCCATGGACCAGAGCACGCCAGGCCCTCCTATCTTCCACTGCCTCCCGGAGTTGTGTCAGATTCATGTTGGTTGCTTCGGTGACACTGTCCAACCATCTCATCCTCTGTCGTCCCCTTCTTCTCTTGCCTTCACACTTTCCAAACATTAATGTCTTTTCCAGGGAGTCCTCTCTTCTCATGAGATGGCCAAAAGTATTGGAGCCTCAGCTTCAGGATCTGTCCTTCCAGTGAGCACTCAGGGTTGATTTCCTTTAGAATTGATAGGTTTGTTCTCCTTGCAGTCCAGGGGACTCTCAAGAGTCTCCTCCAGCACCACAATTCAAAGGCATCAATTCTTCGGTGGTCAGCTTTCTTTATGGTCCAGCTCTCACTTCCATACATCACTACGGGAAAAACCATAGCTTTGACTATTCGGACTTTTGTTGGCAAGGTGATGTCTCTGCTTTTTAAGATGCTGTTGAGGTTTGTCATCGCTTTCCTCCCAAGAAGCAGGCGTCTTTTAATTTCGTGGCTGCTGTCTCCATCTGCAGTGATTATTTATTTGTTTGTTTGTTTGTTTGTTTGTTTATTTATTTATTTATT